AATGGAAAAAAAAAGAGGTAAGGAAAGGACCTAGCAGTACTCATATCTCAACCACACTAGAAAGTGAGCATAATCAAAGCAATCTCGTACTGGCTAAAAGACAGAAATGTTGACCAGTGGAAAGTAAATGAACATAAGAGCATAGTATTTGACAAAACAAAATACTGCAACCACTGCTATAAGAATACATTAGTTAACAAAAAAACTACTAGGAAATCTGCCAAGCATTTTAGCAGAAATTAGATTTAGATGAGCAACTCACACCATATACCACAATAACCACTGAACGGAAACATGACCTACATATAAAAGGTCTTATTATAAACAAACTAGAGAAACAGTAAAGGAGATACCTTTCACAGGTATACAAAGGGAAGAGTATTTGGAAAAAAGCGAAGGGATAGGGAGGATCACAGGGAATAAAATAGACAATTTTTATTAGATAAAATTGGAAAGTTTTTTTTTCCATAAAGAAAATCAGTGCAGTTAAATTTTTAAAAATAAATGGTTAACTGTGGAAAAATTCTTTGTAGCCAATTTCTCTGTTAAGGTCTGATATCCAAGATATTTAGGGAATCGATACAAACAAAATAAAAACAAGAGCCATTTCCCTCAATGGTTAAAGAATATAACTATTACTTATATATAATCACATGGGAAAATGGTTGAACTCACTAATAAGTAGAGAAATACAAATTAAAACAACTCTCAAGTCCCATTTCACACCAAACTGACAAAGATGATAAAAAAAATGAAAGTTACAATTTTTGAGGGATTGTGTAAGTACTTTAATATCCTGTTGGTGAAATGGTATGCATTTGTTTTGTTTGACTGTGTTTGTTTTCTATAAGAGGAAGGAGGTATTTTTGAGGGGGGTGAGAAGTGTTAAGAGCAGGGGGACAGGAGAGTGAAAAGGGTTTCAAAGAGTTTTAAAAAGCTTTTTGAAACAGAGGAATAGACAGTGGATAGAGCACCGGCCCTGAAGTCAGAAGGACCTGAGTTCAAATCTGGCCTCAGACCAAACACTTGACACTTACTAGCTGTGTAACCCTGAGCAAGTCACTTAACCCCAATTGCCTAAAGCAAAAAAAAAAAAGGAATAGAAAAGGCATCATTGAATCATTTTAGAAGCAGAAGGGAACACAAACAATCAAGTCAGTGTTGAAATTATGTAAATTTGAAATAAGTATTATCTATTACATATAAATTAGTGATATGTACATATACATACACTTAGGTATAAAGGTATATGGATGTATATATGTTTATGTACATATATTACACACACACATGAATACACACACACACACACACACACACACATATATATATATATATATATGCATATTTGTTTGTATATATGTATCATATGCCAAGCTGTATGGAGAGGAGATTCATAGCTTCATATTCCATCCTCTTTTATTCTTTTTATAGGGAAATGTTGATTTTCCTTGATTTTTTCAAGCTCATGATAATAAGGAAAATTAAAAAGAAACTATATATTGAAAAAATTTGTCAAATAAGTTATCATCCATACCTGTTGAGAGTTTTCAAATACCTAGGCACAGCGTCTCATGCCTGTAATGTCAGGGAATAGGAGGGCTGAAGATGACAGATCTCTTCAGCTCTGGAGTTCTGTGTTGCACTGAATTATGCTGATTAAGTATTGGAAGTCAAAGTTTAACAGCAAGATGGTGAGCTCCCTAGAGTTAGGGAGACAGAAATATGCCTAAGGAGGGGAAAACTAGCTCAGGTTAGAAACAGAACACATCAAATCTCCCATGCTTTGTGAGTGCAGTCAGCCTGTGAGTAACCCATTTGATGTGTGCGTGTGTGAGCATGCGTGTGTGTGCGTGTGTGTGTGTGTGTGTGTGTGAGAGAGAGAGAGAGAGAGACAGAGACAGAGAGAGAGACAGAGACAGAGACAGAGAGACACACAGAGTGAGAGAGACAGAGACACTGTATTTTCATTGTAAACAAGGTTTGGTGAATATTTTCCTTGTCACAGGAATGTGCACAGGGGTATTTGAATTTGAATTTTTTTTTATATTTATTTTACTACTCTATTTATGTGGAACAGTGATCATTCTCTCAATTTTAGGAGTTGAAACACCCCAGTTCCATTTAACCAGTTAATAGATAAGCTTTTTCAAAGTAATATTTCATGAAAGGTATAGGTAGAGCAAGTGTACAAATATTTCCATCCAATACCTCAGAGGCATAGTCTTCTTTATACTCCCTCACTCTCCGGGGAAGAGAGAGATAATTTAGCTCCGTTCTTACATAGCATTAGTCCCATCAAGTTTCAATTCCAAAGCTCTCCACAGGTTTACATCTTTGAATCCTACTTTCTCTGGATTTGTTTCCCTGTTGGGCTGATTGTAACATTTGTCCTGGAATCCCAGGCTCCAAGGTTCTCAAGGTTAAAGCTTCTGGGTCCAGGATTCCACTCCCTGTATCTAGAACTAAAAAGGACAAATTAAACAAGACCAAAACCCCAAGCCCTTTTATCAGGGCCAGCTGGCCTAAGGGAAAGGGAAAGTGGTCCTCAGACTCTTTCCTTCCTTATTGTATGGTGTCCATGCCAGTACCTGCTGTGAGTACTGTCTCTAGTTATTTTGTTTATTTTTTTAATACTGAAGAAAATTAGAGTTGCATTTTTCCCACTATATGAACAAAATAAAAAAAAAGTATTTCCTCTTTTTTTTTTGAAGAAAAGATTAACAACAAAGAAAGAATGGTTAGCTAAACATGCTAAATTATAAAAAGAGAACAGAGACGATCCCAGTCAAGTAGTTTTAAAGATGCAAGATGCAACCAGTTCTGGCTATATAGCCAGTGAAAGAGGCTGATCTCAACCACATGGTTGGCCAACATTGAATGTCCATGCATTCACCATGTATCTTCCCAGACGCAGATCTGTGGTATCTCCTATGTGGGTACTTTCATTTTGAATATGCACCAAAACTTCTATTACACATGTATTTCTTCAACTTATATATTACACTGTTGCCATTTTGATAGGAAAATATGTTTCTATTCAATTGATCCATTTCCTGCCTCCTAATTCCTACATTTCCTTATTTGAACAGCTTCTTAGGACCTTTAAACATATCAATCAATCTCATGCATGTAAGTGGAAAGATTTCTATAAGAGTAAAGCAATCTGTCCTTTAGAGCAACAAACTAGAGTAACTGTTTCAGGAGGTGAACTGGGATATTGGCATCAATATACTATCTCAAGCAGCAGCAAAGATGCCACAAGCCTAAAAGGATGATTTCAAGTCTCTGAATTCCTTAAAAGTATCTTATACACTTGGAACTGTCTTTCTTACTGCTTGCATGGTAAACTGTATGTAGACTGATAACCTGAGTGAATGTACAATGCCTGGAAGTTATAATCCAAGGTCTCTAAATGACAACCCTAGGGAGACTCAAATAGGAATAATAATTGGTAAATTAAATAGTGTTAGAAACATCCGGGCACATGAGTGCACTTAAAGTTCCTTTTTTTTAAAAAATTGCCTTAAAAATATTATCTCCTTTTGTATAACTTTCTTTGGGAATAAATTTGGCTAATCTTTCTATTTACATTTTAATAATGAGTTTATTTTTATAGAAAGAGATGGAATGCTGGGTTTATCCCAGATCTCCATTATGGATAATTAACTAGAAAAAAAAAATTCTGGCTGCCAGGTTACATAGCTTTCCAGCATTAACCCAAATTGCACACACAGCACCCTAAAGCAACAATCCAAGGGTGTGTCTAGAAAATTCAATCCTCCTTCAGTGACTCAAATAATTCACTCTCCCACAGATACCCTAAATGTGTTTTTACTGACACCACACCACATGGGATGGAAGGATTCTTACTGTAAGTGACATTTGTCAAGAATGATAGAAGTGGAAGCCAAGGAGAACTCTTAAGAGATATACAGTTCAGTTGACTTTGTCACTAATTGAATATAATTTCAGGCCAACCTGTTTGTAAGTCAATGGAATTGAGAATCTTAGAGATAATTCAAAGATTTCAGATGTTTACACAATTCCTTTTGTCTCCCTTACCACCCTCAAGTTAGAGTAAAAGTATAAGGGGGAAAGAAAGACATTGTTTAGTAATATGATATTATACCTCTTAGTATAGACTTAACAGAGTAGGAAATGCGTGGTGGCCAAGTTTAAAGAAGATTAAAAAAGCACCAAGAAATATGAATGGCAAAAGAGAGAGGAAGGATTTTATTCTCCTTCCTTTTCATCTCACCCAGGGATAGCATTTATATTATTTGGCTAGTGGGGAAGAAGAAACAGAATCCACTCCTTTCCAGGGTAATAGTTACTCCATTGATTAAAGAGCCTGAAGGTTGCAAAAAGAATGATTTGTATATGGGAAATGACTCCATTGAAACAAAAGATCGATAATATAAATGACTGTAATTTTAAGAAAATCAAATAGCAGGCAATACAGCTGACATGAAATTGCTTCTGTGAAAAGAAATAAAACATTTTAAGCTACCATGCCTCTGCACATGTGTATATTAACTTAAGCACATTTTTCTTCTTTAGTATCAAAATATGCTACATTATCCTGGAATAAAATTTTAGATTATCCTGCAGAAACAGTTTTTTTTCTGTAACATTTTGATTCTTTTTCAAATGTTGTGATGCTATTTCTATTTTTTTTTAATGAGACCAATGTAATGAGGTAATAATTATAGGCTAACCTTGGAACAAGGCTTAAACAGGAATTTCAGAGAATAAAGACCCTGTTGAGAATTGTTGAGCTCTAGAAGAATCATTCTCACATCACCAAGGAGAGCACTCTCTTAGGGAAAAAGCATTTCACTTGTATATTTTCCTGTTTTATCCAAAAAGGAAGTCTTAGGACTCAAAAAAAAAAAAGTAATGGAGGTTTGAATCTTCTATGCTTCAGAAAAAAACAGAGTTCTTAACCTTTTTCTATGGTATTTTCTCAAATATATTATTTATTTATTTTTTCACAGTTGATGATGAAGAACTTACCGATGTGGATGTTCCAATTTCCAATGAAAAACTTGAGCGCAGCAAAGAGCTGACCTACCAGTGGCTCCACACGCAAGTTGGGAGCTATGAAACAACCAGCCCCAGAAATGTGAAATGGTGAGGTCATTTCCTTTCAATTAGATTTTTGTCTTGCAAATACATCATGAAATGTGAAACCTCGGTTAATTGTGCTAAAACAAACATGGCTTTATAGCCAAAGGCCAGTGTACCACATGGTTAGCTTATGCAAGACCCCCATACAGAATTGATTTAATAACCTTTAAATGATCATGAAGAGCTCAGTTTCTTGAATAATGGAAGGCCAATAGATAAACCACATAAGGAATCATGCTTGGAAAATGCAACATATGGTATCTGTAAACAGAGACAAAAATGATCACCTGTGCCATAGTTTGTATTGTAGTCTGTCTACAGTATAATGTGTCAAAAGAGGCAGAAAAGGAAAGAGAAGAAAATGAAAGAAAAAGAAAAGGTGGGTGTCTGTGTATCCATTAAATTAACATTTGAGACAATTGAAGAACAGCATTGCACAAAAATTTTCAGAACTTTTTTTTAACATGTAGACAACACTTTGTGGTGAAAAGAACTCTGAATTTTTAGTTAAAAGTTCAAATACTAATACTCCTATTTGCTACCTATGTGACATTAGAAGAGTCACAGACCCTTTCTAGGTTTCTACAACTCTTAAGTGAGAAGGTTAAACTAGGTGATCTCTACTGTCCTTTACCACTCAAAATCCTATGATTCTATTATTCTATGTACAGACAGATGTTGCAGTCATATATCCAAATACAGAAGCTGGTTTTGAAATATTAGGCCCGGATTTCTTGTCATTGTTGATTATAAAATAAATTGAATGAATGCAAAAGCCTATAATTATTCAGTCCTAAGTTTAACAGTAAGATAATCAGAATATGCAAAAATGTAACTTCTCTAAATAATGTATATTAATTGATTCTACTCATATGTGGTCAATTCTCTCCATGTAATTCCTGTTAAAGAAAATGGAAATCATGTGCTTAGAAGAATGAAAGAGTCAGATTGCATCAGCATTTTGCATTCTGAATCATTATTACCATATTTTATTTTCAGCCAAAAAAGTAGGGAAAAGTTCTTGACGTTAGTGTAATTTCTAAGGCTCATTATTATTTCACTAAGAATTCTGTGTAATTATCATGTCCATTACATTTTATTTTCATGCTGGATAATACTACCTCATATATATACCATGTGAATAACACCAATAATATATACATACAGTAGATAGTTCTCTAAATACATTACCTAAATATAAAAATCTAGTACAAAAATTTGTAAAGCTATAAGTAATATAAAATAGATAATTCAAGATAATTCAGGAAGACTTTTGAATGTCAAAGTTGAACAGATTTTTCTTATTCATAATTAGGGTTTTTTCAAAAGAAACTATAAGGAGTAAATTTTCATAGATTTTCTTATTTGCTAGGATCTTACAAAAGTCTAGCTAGTGGTCTTATAAGGAAAAATATTTTATGGAAGGTAAGTGTTGGGACTAAGCTGTTTCTATAGTCTAGAGATTTTTTCCTAATTTTAGAACCAAAGTTCATTATATGTATTAGGAGAATGCATGAAATTTCCCACAGGTGTTTCAAACTGAGATACTTTTTTTCTCCAAAAATAAGTAAAGTGATGTAAGTTAGCTGAATTAAATGTCTAAAATTTCTATATTTTGTAAGAATTAATAAGTTTTTACTTTTTGCTTGTCTCTTCAAATTTTTGTTTGGGGGATTAAAAGTTTTGTTTAGAATTTTTTAATTGCATGCAACTTTCAAGGAAAAATTGTTCATAAAAATTAATATCTTCAAATTGTGTATTTTGTTCCTGCCAAAATGTAGCTTAATGAAATTTTCAATTCTTTGATCAAAATAATTCTACAAAATTTTAAAATATGAAATGTCATTATGTAATCTACTACATTTGAAATATAAAACATTTTCTGCTTTTGTCACTCTACAGCCAGACTCACTTCTTGCCTGTGTTAGATCCAGATGTACTTAATGGTGGGCGAGTCCAACTTGTGGTAAGAAATGTGTTTAAAGTTACAGTAAAATGTTGCAGATGCCAATACTTAATAACTGCCATTTAAAAGTATGTCTATAATTTGTTTAAACTACAAAACTGTCACAACTGTAACTACTTCTGAGCAATATCAAAATGACATATTGAAATAATACTTTAAAAACTTTGTATATGATGTATTTTTATTAATACATTATTAAGATGATATTTTTTCATTAATACATGACTAAAATCATGTTTTATTTGCATTACTTTCAGATAGGGGACCACTGTATTGCTTAAAATTGAAATTCCATCAATTTGGAATAAATTGTGGTTAAATAAATTTTTTTTAATTTTTTGAATGAATAAGTTACATAATTAACAATAAACAAAATGTAGTTAATTAAATTTAATGGCAATGATACTTTTAATCTTTACTATGGCCAAAAATTAATGTATCCTAAGAAATAACACTCTTCTTCATCACACAGATTAAAAGATGTGCTAAAAAGTTATTGGAATTTTAGTATGTCAGAATTTTATATGCAATGTATATTTTTTGAATTTTTTTGTTCCTTGACAATTTTTGAAATTTTGTTGAATTTTGTTCTTGATTTTTTCCTTGACAATTTCAACATTCTTCTACTATTTCAATTCAAATGCATGCCAAAAATGGGGGTAGGGGTTCAGTCTAAAGGATTATGTGTGTTTAAATGACATATCTTGTACCAGAGTCATTGTTCATAACATTCTGTAGGCTGTTCTTATCTACCATGTGTCTTTCCCATACTCTTTAGGATATTTGTGTTTTATACCTCTAATATGATTATCCAAGATTCACAGTATCACTTGGAAAATTTTAGTATTGAAGAAATGAATTTTTGTCTGAGTAATCAATTTAAAATCATTAAAGGTAGTCCCATTTGATTTCCCGAATGCAATTTAATCTGATCTCCCCATGACTCACTTCTGGGCCGAACTTGTTAGTTATCTGTAACATTTGTCCAATATACACATATTAATGGAATAATCCAATGGACTTTCCCAAATAACTGTATGTCATAATTGGACACGGTACTTTTCATCTACTTTTTTTTTTAGTATGGATAGTTAGGTCAGTCTTTTTTACATCCATATACATATACATATATATATATGTGTATATATATATATATATATATATGTATATATATGTACACACATATATATATACATATATATGTATATATATATGTATATATATATGTACACACATATATATACACATATATATATACACACACATACATATATATACATGTATATGTGTGTGTATATATATATGTATATATATATATGTACACACATATATATACACATATATATATACACACACATACATATATATACATGTATATGTGTGTGTGTGTGTGTGTGTGTGTGTGTGTGTGTGTGTATCACTGAGGAAGCTATGTAGTGTGCTGAAGCCCAGTTTAATCATGATGATGTCATTGACAAATAGGAGCCCTTGGAAAACATTACAATCAATAAGAAAGCTTTTGGTTTTTTGTGTTTGTTTTTATTTCTTTGTTTGTAACGTAGTGCGAGTTTCCTCAGTACCAGTGAGCTGTAGTTGGGGTTGCAGATGCAGCTTCCTTGATTTTCTAAGTGCTGTTCAATGCTTCATAGTTTAGGGGGCAGAGAAGAAATTTCAGCTGGGATGTTCTGCCATGGGTGAGGAGGAGGCAGGCCAAGAAGAAATGAGGCAGGCAGAATCATACAATGAGCAAGCAGAAACTTGAGGCTGTAGATGTGTGTCTGGAAACTGAATGGGCCCAGGTCTAGTGGCTCTGTCTGAGGTAGAAGTTAATGTTGGGGACAGGCATTCTAGAACATGTTGCTGAAAGGACAAGAGTCAGGAATGGTATCCAAAGTAGAAAGAAGCTGTGTGGAAAACCACAGTAATAGCATTTGGATGGCATTTTAGGGTTTACAAAGACCTTTGCAGATATTAGTTGATCCCCACAACTACCTGGGGAGGAGGCAGGTGCAATTATTATCTCTATGTTTTAGATAGTGAAACAAAGACTGAGAGAAGCTAAGGGACTTACTTGTCCAATGTCACACAGCTAGTAAGTGTCTGAGGCTGGATTTGAACTCAGGTCTTCTTGACCCTGGGTCCATCACTCTGTCCATTGTACCAAGCACTCACCAACAGCAAAAGTCCTTCCTAGGTCCTTTCAGAGTGTTATTAGGTGGCATTTACCATCTTGCAATGTTAGAACTTGATAGCATGCAAGCTGCCTTTGGAACCAACCTCAAGTCTAAGATTGCTAGTAGGTGAGGCCTCAGGTTCAGGAATCAAGGCTTTAACACTGAATAAATAAAAAGGTCATGTCGACCTGTTTTAGTCTATTGGAATACTGAATTTTAGCAGACTTGTTTTATTCAGGTGCATGTGTTGCCACCCCTGGCCCTCTTGCTTTCCCTGAATCCCCTTGATCTAGAAAGTCCTCATAACCACTACCACCCTCATTGTCTCCCATAAGAGTAACTGATTCTTCGTGGTGTTAGACATGCACATTAGCTAAAAATAAACTTTGGCATTTAGCACTTCCCATGAGTTTCATCACCAGAGGTTGTCCCCTAAGGAGGTGTTATTTGTTCATTGTTACTCCTGATAAAACCCTGAGGAGAAATGGGGATCTGAAGGGTAGAAGGAAATGACAAACCACTGAAGTACTTAATTGTGAAATTTGGCGCAGTAATGTATTTCATGGTGCCATTTAAGTATTTAATGGTGCCATTACTCCACCTGTGATTAAACAAAATATCCCAATTATTTCATGTCATGGAATTTTTTTTAATATCCGTATCAGCATGATCTCCATCTTCTTTTCTAAGTGAAGCCTTATAGGCTGCACTGCTGAATCAAATGGTATCTTAAAATCATAATGAATAATGTAGGATCTTTATAGTCTTTAAACCTAGGAGTCAATTGTCCAACTGTAAAGAACAATCTGATTTAGAAGGAACAGAATCTATCTTTCTGCTGAAACTCTTTGTAGTTTCCTTATCCATTTTATTGGACAGAAGATGTTGCCTTTTCTCAAGTGGTATGGATTGGTCTATATGGCTTAGTGCTGCCTTTTTACATTTTTAAGTATGAGTAGATTTTGTCTTTTAGAAAGTAAGAGGGACTGCTTTTGATTGAGGCATGCTGATGGTGATGTTCTTTGGTTTTTTCATTTTTCTTTCTGGGAAATTCTTATACTAAAGTTAAAAATATGCCTCCTAGAAGAAACCCACCTCCCAGAGTGTGGTCTTAGAATAACCCATGGAACAGGGAAATACAGAGATGGTATACACATTGATGAGTTCATCCATTTTGAAAGGTCGGATCAAGTCAGTGCTATCTTATTTACACTGGAGAAAAGTGAAGCCTTGCAATTCCAAGAAAAGTTCGTATGAGTACATCATAATGTCATGCTAGCAGGCATCTCAGGGCCAAACAGATGAGAAAAACCATTATCCCTCCTCATGATTTGACTATATAAATCCTTGGACATTAGGTAATATAATATTATAGATGCCAGAACACCAAAAAGAGTACATCCTTGTTTGTTCCTCTGCAATCTTTGTGCTGAGAAAGGGTAAAGTTTGTGATAGATTAGCTGCCACCCTTAGATTACATGACCATCATCGTTACTAAATACAGACTCTTTACTAAATACAAACTATTTCTCGTGAATATGCTACCTGAATTTTTGTCTCTGTTGCATCTCAAACCTTATGGTAATTTAAAACGATAACATTTAAACTACAAGTGCTTCTGTTGCAGATAATGTCAGATAGGGACCATAGCTTATGGTGTTATGTTTAAATCCTTGAAATGCATCCCTAAGAGGCTAGGATTTCACCTATACCTCCTACCACAGGCTTACAGTTAAGTGTTAACCAAGAAACAAAAAAAGTTCCTACAGAGCTACTCCATGTGTGGCCATATTGGCCTTGCCTATGGACTAATTTCCCTACAGAATCACAGTGCACTTCATACTCAGTCTATCTATGGATGCACCCCATTCCTCTGCTTGGTAGATACTCCAGAAATGTAGAACTCATCTTTGCAGCATGAAAGTGGCTCTTACAGGTGGTACTTTTGACCACACAGCAAAGATATTTGATAACAAGGGGACTAGTGAAGAGCGGGGTGCTCCTATGCTGGAACTCTGATACACCTGACCTGGCTAGGTCACCAGTACTTGCCAACAACAAAGGCCTTCCTAGGCCCTCTATGAGCATTACTTGGTGGTATTTACCATCAGCTAGTATTTGAATCTGATAAGATATGGAATTCCACATCTCTTCCCCATTTTCCAGAATTCCCATAATAACAAGAAAAGCTCTCATTCCTGTTAGAGTCACAGGAAGATTTTGGGGGGGAGGAGGCAATGGGATAATAGATTTCAAGCTCTCAGAAATAGTAGAGACCATCTTGTCCAAGCTTCAGTTTCTAAATGAAGGTACCTTCACCTCTCCTGCTGCAGCACACTTGCTGCTATACTGAGGAGCTGGACAAGCCATCTCCATCATCTTCATGCCTGGGGACTTCTCTTACCTCCCCCCAACCTGCCAGTGGGCAACAGGAAGACAGACCAACAACCCCAGCTGCTGCTGCTGAGAAGACCCTCAGTCTTCTCCCTCTCCCGCATGAAAATCACTGCCAGATTGCCCCATTTCCCCCAGGTGGAGGGTCCCTAGGGTCAGCTGGATGCTGCCGCCCAAATTGCTATATCTAATGGAGATATTCCAAAGCCATTTTGGTCCTCGCCCTTGTACCCACTATCATTTATGCATTGTGTCTTCCCATTAGGATGTGAATTCTTTGAGAACAGGGAATGTGTCAGTTTCCTATTTGTATCTGCAGTGCTTAGCACATTCCTTGGCACATTCCATTCCAAGAAAGTGAACTCCAGAGATGATGAGCGGCTTGTCCAAAGTCACACCTAATTTTTGTGACTAAATGGAATAGTCAGAATT